ATCAAAAAAGAAAATCTAATAGATAATTTCTATTATATTAACAGTAAAAAAAAAAAAGAAGAAGAAATACAACTCCGTTTAACCATTTCTGAAATAAAATACAGCTCTATAAGAAAAGATACACACCTGCAAATTACAACGAGGAAGCAACTAAACAAATAAAATGCATGTAAAATTATCCAATTCTACCCGCAGAAAGTCCCACTCCTTAATCCATTAATTTGTTAGAATAAGACAATTATTGCAAAGGCTTAGTTTATATCCATATCTTCAAGATGTTTTGCACATAAAATGTTTTATTTAAGATTTTGATTGTTTGCCAATTAAAAATATTAATGAATTGAATAAAGTAAATATATAATTATTTCAAGACTTAAATTTGCTGAAAATACAAAAGAAAAAGAAAGAAAGTGATAATTCTATTTTATAGAATTATTTTAGTCCAATTTTGTTATTAAATATTATCCAAGTCCTTAATTTTTTATTATAATTTATTTATTTTTGGTTGTTTTTATAATTAGTTTATTGCTAAGTAAGTTATTTTAATTTTATGTTTATTTATTTTAATTTGATTATTATTTATTAATTTTTATATTTTTGTAAGAACTAAGAGAATTGAGTTTAATTTTAGAAAGTAAGGTGTTGAAAGATCCAAAATTCTGCTTGCTTATACTTCAGTATTTTGACCATAAATCATGCTATAGAACTCCAAATACTACAATTCTTAGATCATTGGAAAGCTAAGAGACATAGCTAAAACTTTCATGGAGATCACTTTGCCCAGTTCTGCCTAATGACAATTTTAAGACTAATAATTGATGTTTGGGCCTCATTATACTATTAAGCCCAATCGTTAGAATTAGTAGGTTAATTTAGGGACTTATAGGTTAAGTTTGTTAGCATAAATAGGATATTTTCAAGGGACATTTGGTCAACAACTTTTGGAGATTCAATAAGTTAGACGTTGAGGTTGAAACTTAGAGAGCAAGGTTGCAAATAATTGTTTTGTTTTTTTCCTAAGCTTTTATTTTTCTTCTTACTCTCAATAGTTGAAATTTATATAATATTATTTCTATTTGCAATTATGAGTCATTACTTTTTTTAAGATTGTAATTGAATTCACATGTAATCTAAATTTTTAATCTCTTTTTTTCTTATCTTTAATAGGATTTGAATTGTTTATTCTAATTTGTTCTTAATACTTTTAATTGCCTAATCACTAATTAAATTAATTTAGAAACCTAAACAAACTTGAGAAAAGGAGTTTAGTGTATACTAAAATTAAGATAACATATGATCATAATAATTGATTTGACTATAAGACAGGGATATACATAGCTAAATTAGAACCTGAACTTAATGAGTCTATTTTTAATTTAAATTCACATAAAGATATAGTATTTTGATTAAAATAGATATTTTTATAAGATAAGTCGGGAGACCCTTATAAATAATTGAGGGTTCTAAGTTAGCAATTCAACCCTTTGAAATAAGTTAAGAAAGAGAATTAAGATTTAGATTAAGTGTGAAGGATATTGTAATCTTAGGCTTGTTTGATTTGATTTTTACCAAAGTTATTATTACTTTGATTTTTTTTTTAGTTTAAATTTTGATTAACTAGTTTTAGTTAATTAATTTAGTTATTTGAATTTGATTGTTTGAATAAGATTAAATTATTATAATTTTAGTACTTAGTAAAATTTTAGATCAATTCTCTGGAAGAGCGTTTGCTTATATATTATCTTTTCCATACTTATACTTGTGTAGATAGAAATTTATATGATAAAAAGAAAGCAATGATATTTGGAGTGCTTGAACTTTCAGGTAGTGAGAGTTTTTTGATAAACTGAATACAGTAAAAGCATTCGTACACCATAAGCCTTAAAAAAACCTAAAACCAAAAGGAAAAAAAATTGTTTGAAAAATAATGACTAAATTTTAAGAAAAAATCAAAGAGAAAAATGATCAACCTTTCCACAGCCTACCATGTGTCACCTAAAGGGAGCCACAACGTAACCAATTTTAAAAGCCCTGTTGGAACTTCCTTTTATATAAAGTTATAGATATTAAATTCTTGATTAATGTCGTACAAATATTAACTTCATTTAATATATATATATATAGAGTGCCGGTTGGTGGATAAAGCCACCGAATCAAGGACTTTTGGTCTCAAATTTGGGGAGGTCACATAATTTTATAATAATAATTTAAGTAATTATATTAAAAATATACAAAAACTAATATAATTATTAAAATAACTACCTATTCTCTCATGTTTAGTAAATATCTATTTTCTCTCACTTTCATATCTTATTAATTCTCAATTATTTAGCTCATTTCTTGTTAAAAATATATAAAAGTCAAAGAGAATTAATAAAATAACATATTCTCTCACTTTCATAATTATGTGCCCAATAAATCTTAAAATTTTATAACTCTTTCATTTCTATAATTCTATTAATTCTCAACTATCTCTTATTTTTAATTAACTACTATTAATATGTATTTATATTTAATGATCTCCTACAACTATTTTTTTTCATATATAAAACTAATTATCTTTTTTTTTTATTTTCAAAGCTAAAAATTTTAAAAGAAATTATACAAATGGAAGATAATAGTTGAATTGATATATTTAATCATATAAGAAAACTCAATTTTTTTAAATGCATATATATATATATATATATATTGCATTTAGAATAATGTTAACAATCCTAATAAGTATTGCTTTAGCAAAAACAAGTTTTTCAAAACTAAAATTATTAAAATTTTATTTCAGATCAAAAATTTCTTAAAAAAGATTAAATGGATTAATTATATTATCAATTGAAAAAGAAATATAAGAAAAACTTGATTATAATAGTTTAATTAGAGATTTTGTATCAAAAAAAGCTAAACGAATAAAATTTTAATAAATTTTTTTAATTTCAATAAAAAAAACTTCATTTTGAAATTTAACTTTAGATCAAAGTGCCTTTATATATATATATATATATATATTCCATTACCTTAGGGGTACGAGCCTTGCAACTTGGGTATTATAAATCTTATGAAAAAATAATTGTTGGTGATATTAAATTGCATTATTAATTCAAAAATAACCAAGTGAAATATCACATCATTAGCTGGCCAGGAGAACTGCAAATTGAGTATTTTTGCCTTTAAAAATTGAAGCAAAGCAGTTGGCGACATGACAGCTGAATTAAGTTTCATAAAAAATCATATAAGTTTTTCAAAAAAAAATTTCATATATAGTAACCAAGTAGCATGTAAACGGATAAGATATCTGTTAATTTTGAAGTATTTAAACTCAATTAGTAAATAAAATATTTCAATTTAATAATTAATTATTTATTTTTAAAATTTATTATTTCAATTTGAACCTTAGTACATACTTACTACTTAATAATTACTCGAATTTATTTAAAAACTCGATTATGTAAAAAAATTATTAAAATGTTTTTCATAGGTACAAATTATTCAAACTAGAATCTGTATCTATATTTATATATAATAATATTTTTATTCATATTTCATATAATTCACTAATAATTAGTTTTATAAAATCACAAAAATCATAAAATTTAAATTTAAATAATAAAAAATAAATATATCAAATATCAACTTAAATATTTAAAAATAAATATTTAAATAATAACTTAAACAACATTACAAATTTAATTAACTATATAAGTTTGTTCTTAATTATATGAAATTAAAAAAAAATAGTCAGGTTCCAAAACTGTTTTAATCTTACATTTTTCTTTTTAAAACCAATAATAACGTACCCTAACTTTATATAATCGAGTTTGATACCCACAAGTGCCTTATAACAGGACAGCGATTACCATCCCTATAACTAAGTGAAGCATATTAACCAATGATCTTCTTCATATTGCTTATCACTAAAATATGCGTTTGTTAGTGCTGTTCTTTTTTTAAAAAAAAAATTCTTTTTTCTAAAGAAAAAAGTCAAGCATTTTGATGCGTGCAAGTAAGTTTTGAGGGAAATTTAAGAGTACCTTCCAAACGGCAAGATTGGTAACAATGATAATTGAAAATAATTTTTTGTATAAGGTAAGATAGATAATAGTGCAGTGAGACTGAAAGTTACAAGGATAAGATAATATATGTTAAAAAAATGACAGTGGTGATATACTATGTAATTTTATAATATATTTCACATTTACAAAGTCAATAGAATTAGTAATAATATATTTATAAATACTCGTTATTGATAAATAATATTTTATTTATATCTTTCTTGTATTTATCTAGTTATTAAGTAATTTGATTTCATGATTGTTTTAATCAATTATTTATTTTCTTATTTATATTTATATATAGTTTTATCTTCAATATTGAATCTATGATTATTTATAAAATCAATTATATATTTATTTATTTTTATTATATTAAAGAAAATATAAATAAAATAACGAAGAGCTTTTATGAGAAGAGGGAAAAAAGAGAAATAGCATTTTATATCATTGAGAGTAAGAAGAAAAAATAACAAAAAAGAGTATGACAAAATTGGAAACAAGGAAAAGAGGTCTAGTGTGAATTTCCCACTAGGAAAAATTTGGAAACAACAGCATTCAGCAGCCTTGAAAATATATCATAGTATATCCCACTCATATAGATTACAATAAGAAATTAGAGAAATCCAAGCACACACCAGTACACCTACACATATTCAAGGAGATTCAAAGTCCAATTGACAGAGTACAGTCTTAATTAAATATGTTTACCAGAACACCTACACATATTCAAGGAGATTCAAAGTCCAATTGACAAGTACAGTCTTAATTAAATATGTTTAAGTTGTCATTCGGAAAGAGAAGATCAGAAAGGAGAGAGACGTGACGCGAGACAATTAAGACAGGTTTTGGATTGAGGTCAGACGGTGACAGCATCCATGAACTCGTTATCATTCTCCATGGCCTCAAATGTCGGAGGTGCAAGGCATATTTCGATGTCAATACTCCCTTCTTCCACCCCAGAGTGCACCGTTACTCTCCCATCGAACTTGTTCGCTGGCCCGCTCCTTATCGCAATCGGGGTTCCCAACCCTGTTTCACCACCATAAAAATTGAACCGAGGTGAATCACTGGTTACCAAAGAGTTACTTACCATGTTGCCCATCGTCCTTAGCTTTGGGGTTTCCATCCATGTTTTCAAGAAGTTCTTAAACATTTCCTCGTTATGAGCAGCAACTACCTTGTTCATTTGCCATGCTGCGTTACCAAGTCCAAGGTCTAGCAGCTCCTTCACTTTCATAGTTATGGCCCCAACCTGTAACACGTTTCCAAAATATCGTTCTGGCAGCTGCTGCAGTTTCGGTCTACCGCTAACCATTAAGCAGTAATTAGTCTCTTCATCGGGGTCAGCTTTCCTGTTTCGAATAACAGCTCGCCAAAGGTGAGACAAGAGTGCTTGAAGAGATGAGATGGCTTTGGTGCCAACCTCCGAGTTAGCTTTTGCTTTGAGTTTTGCAACATTTTCCCTCGAGAAATGAAAGACCCTAACTCTCAAAGGTGGTGGAATGAACTTATCATGAGTTTGATGGAAGTAGGAACGAGGAAGGCGAATGGGGAAATCAACATCCTTAAAAAAATCACGTTGGAAAACGGGAGGTTTGGATAACTGAGTTGGATCACAAGCGATTGCTAACCAAGATTTGAAAAAATGGAAGAATGAGGCACCATCGACAATGGAATGATTGACAGAGACACTAATGAAGAAACCATCTACGAGTTCAGTAACTTGTACTGCAAGTAAAGGATTGGAAGTGCCCTGGTAGTTCTTAATCCCATTCAAAGGGAAAAAAGAGTCGAGGACGGCAGGAATATAAGCAGGTTGAATGATATTGGAAGTGGTTACCCCATCAGCTACAGCATGGACAAATAAAGCCCCAGCGTTATTACAATCAATAGAAAAGGAAACAGTATTACCATCATGTTCCGTAGTGGAAAGTCGTCCAGCAAGAGGAGCGAAGTAGTTTAGAGTCGATGAAAGGAACATTTTCATGTAGAAAACTACAATATTCCCTATCTCCTCGTCTTGATCATAAACGTCGGGCACTTCCGGGATCTGGTAGAGAAGTCCTCTTTGGATGTACTCCGCAAGAAGGAACTGAAGATCCCATGGAGTTAAATCCATGTTTTGAGCTTGTTGCTCATCGTGATTCTCAGCTTGAACCATGCTCGTTGAGAGTACACGAATGCTGGCCATGATTAATTGCCTTTTCAGTTCTTTTGCACGACATTCCTAGTGTTAACGAGTTTCCATATTTATAAAGGAAACTTGTACTTTGGGTTCAAGGCGAGGGGACGAATTATGCTTTAATTAGCTGGAAATCTAGAATATACATGTGATTGTCATTAATAGCTTTGTTTCCCCCATTAATTGAAGCATTGAGAAAAGTAAGAAAAAACCATTTCAGACATTTATGAATCATATATTTGGATTTGATAAAGTACTGTTTCTTAGAGAATACAAGTTGTGTTTGGCTAGTGAAGAGATTGGACCGGTTGCTGTTAAGCTAATGATAAAATTGATGACGGTTGTTGTGGTCAGTTGCAGGGTAGCCAAAGTCAAAGTAGCAGATATATGATCAATTAATCCTGCGACAGAGACAGCAAATTACTGTTGCCTTGGGACCCGAAAAATATAATCAAGGTTCAACTCTTGCCTAATTTAGCATGGTTAAGGAAAGAACTAATGATTAATCCTTTAAGTGCAAGCTATATATCTAAAGTAAATGGTGATTGGTGGGAGCGGATCCTAAAGAAATGATTAGACAAATAATAAGTTCTATAATCAAGCTTTTTGTTATCAATATAAGTGTAAATGTTCATTGCACTATGCAACCTTTTAAATTTTTTTATATTCCATATGCCTCTTTACTTAAGTACATCCCATCTTCTAAACTCATTAAATGTAAGTGCATTCTCACCTACTAAATTCATTCTCCCTCCATCTATGTAAGCTTATAAATAGAGATATATTGTAGTTGATGGTAAATAGATTTAGAAGAAATGAAATAAATTTTTTTTTATATTTTTAATATTTTTCTTTTATAATTGTTCTTTCAAGTTATATTTCAAAACACTTTTCAAATTCTATTTTCACAACACTTTTATGTTTTTGTTTTAGTTTCAAATGAACTCTTTAATTTTATATCAATTTTGATCTTCAATTATTTGGATAGAAACAGTATACTCCTATAATTCCTTCACCCTAGTAATGATCATTTGATTTGGGAAAAAAGGGTTTGGGTCTAATTATTTGAACGGAAGGATACATGTGTCATTGGATTCCACCTCAATAAGAGATGGGATGAGTATTAAGTTTATAAGTATAAGTCTTCTTTTATTTAATAAGTACAATATGTCTTTCACTTCCGTTGGTAACAGTTCAGATTCCGTCGATATGTGACAATACTGACAAAACTTTTGACAGAATTTTTCATTAGAAATAATGTAGTCAGCAATGAAAAATCTTTCAGCAATTTGGATTTAGAAGAAATGAAATAAAAAATCCTTTTACAGTTTTAATATTTTTCTCTCATAATTGTTCTTTCTAGTTATATTTCAAAACACTTTTCAAATTCTGTTTTTACAACACTTTTATGTTTTTGTTTTAGTTTCAACTAAACTCTTTAATTTTATATCAATTTTGATCTTCAATTATTTGCATGGAAACAGTATACTCCTATAATTCCTTCACCCTAGTGATGATCATTTGGTTTGGCCCTAGTAAGGATCATTTGATTTGGGAAAGAAGGGTTTGGGTCTAATTATTTGAACAGATGGATACATGTGTCATTGGATTCCACTTCAATAAGAGATGGGATGGGTATTGAGTTTATAATTATAAGTCTTCTTTTATTTAATAAATACAATATGTCTTTCACTTCCATTGGTAACAGTTCAAATTCCGTTGATATGCGATAATACTGACGAAACTTTCAATAGAATTTTTTGGCAGAAATAATGTAGTCGGTAATGGAAAATCTGTCACCAATTCGGTCACTACTGGTTCCGATCCAGTAGTCGATTTGTAATCGATAATGGGATAATTCTGTCGATAAATTATTTTTTTCTCAAATTATAAGCTTTGACTTTAATACTAGATAATTGGTTTGCAAAAGTTAAAACTATGGCTTTTTATAGTGACTAGAAAGATCATGGCAACCTCAACTGTATGTCTAGAAAATCAATTTTTTCAAGATAATTATGAAGAATGCTATTGATTATATAAAACAAGTGAGTGATTTTTTTTCAATTATAACCTATAATTTCGAATGTGATTTTAACGTTTGCTGTATACTAGAAATATTTTTCATAAACTATATTTTAAAATCACATTCACAATTACCATTTATAATTGAGAAAAGATTACTTAACAGATTTCCATAATTAATAGCATTCCTTGAAATTACCTTATAAAAATAGAGTTTTTTGGACATAAAGTTAATGAGGCTATTATGATGATCATCTCTCTGGCTACTATGGGAAGCTACAACATTAGTTTTGATAGAACACTACTTCTCCAATATTAAAGTCAAAGCTTAGATTGCTAATCTAAATTTTAATTTGAGAAAAAAAATTTTTAACTCATATGTACTACCAAACTTTCAGTTGCAAACCAATTCACGTGACCACCCATTTGTTTATAGAAGTTTAGTCTATTAGAGGTTGAACGAATATATACATCAAATAAATATAATATTATTTATTTAAGTAATTACTTAATTATAACACTGAACCCTAATCTCTAGACACCTTAAATAAATTATTTAATTAATTCATTAACACCTTACTTTAATTACCCTAAATAATTTTAAAATTAAATAATATTACTAATTTAAGTAACTAATTTATATAATTAAACCTTAAATTTAATTATATAATTAAATTATATGTAATTAACAGATGTTAACACAAACATCAATCGAAAACAAAATCCAACTTAAATACTAGAATTATTAAAATTTTATATGTTACCAACATAATAATTTATTAAAATCTTACTTAATTTAGATAATTTTAAAAACATTTAGCAATATTTAATTAATTTAACCTAAACCTTAATTAGTTTAAATATTTTTTAAATTAACTATTACTAATTTAATTAATTGCTAGATAAGTAATTAAAACAAATTTTCATTTTATTAGTTAAATTCTTTAATTACCCTCATACAATCTTAATTAATTTAAATAATCTTAAATTAATCTAAATTTACTAATCCAATTAATTGCTTAATTACATAATTATAACGCATAACATTACTTACTTAACTATATTATTTAATTAACTCCTTAACATCTGAATTACTTTAAATAATTTTAAATTACTCTAAATTCACTTCTTTAATTAATTGCTTAATTAATTACTTATAACTCATTACATTGCTTAATGAACTAAGTACATTAACACCTTAAATTAAATAATATTACCCTAAACCTTAATTAATTTAAATAATTTTAAATTTTTCAAAATTTTCTAATTTAATTTATTGATTAAGTACTAACACATAATTATTTTTCTTTACTTAAATTATTTAATTAATTCACTAGACTCTAATTTAAATAAAATATAATATTATCCATCATACTACTTATTTAATTAAGCTCTTATTTACTTATATGAAACAACATTCAGAAAAAAAATTCTATAGATCATATATATATATATATATATATATAAACACTTTGGTATCAAAAAAGAATTACCACATGTAAAGTCTCAATAAATCTCCACTATCTCAGAATCACCAAATTCACAACTAAACAAAGAAAATAAAAAATAAAAAAATTTCTCAGCAAATTAAGTAAAAACCAAGATTAAGACTTTAAATACTACTTATGTTGGCAATTAGAAGGTAACGGTCATGTTCCCTGACATTTGAGTAAGGACTGTTTTGCTCTCCTCCATCAAGTTCACATTTGCTTATTCAGCTGGACTCGTTGACTCCGCTGCCGTACCATTCGCCATATCCCAAAAAACTAGATCACTAATTAAAAAATCGAGGCAGGGAAGGTTTAGAGATAGAGAATTGAGGGAGAAGAGAGTTTAGGGAGCAATGGGGGGAAATGGGGAAATAAAGGGAGAAACGGTAGAAATGATAGGCCTCGGGAAATTAAATTAATATTATCAACTGAATTTTCGTCGATATAGTTATTAACTATTCCAATCGTCTTTGTTCATTGATTTTATTGGTGATTTTTTCAATGACGTAACCAAATCGATCAAACAAATCGTCAGTAATTTGGTCAGTAGCGTTCATTGTAATGTCATTATCGACGAACTTAATCTATCCGTAAACTTGATGCCATCTTAAAATATTGCGTGCCATTGTAATGCCAACTGAATATTGATGAAATTTATACCGTCAGTAATGCTTAGCACATAACTCCAACAGATTTTACTAATAGAAATAATTTCGTTGATAAAGTTTTTTTTTTTTTTTTTGTCTTTTAAATAGAAAGCATGAGATCGTGACAAATGATATCAAAATAGATTTAACTTTTTACAGAAATAAAACTCTTTATGAAAAATATCAAAATTAAAATAAATCTAGTCCTAATCCTTATAAAATCCCTCATTAAAAAATATCAAGTCAAAGTAAACCCCTCTAAGTAAAAAGGCCAGTGCAAAGTTACGTAAGAGCATTCCTCCATTTAATATAGCCAGTAGAGCTGTCAATATGGGCAGGCCTGGCTCAGTCCAGCCCGACCCCAGCTCTAGTGGGTTGAAAAAATATGAATTGGGTCAGGTTAGTTCATTTTTTATATGGGTCATCAAAATCTCAATCCAGTCCACTTTTTATTAGCCCATGAGTTGGATTGGGCTATCTCATTTTTATTTTTTTTAAGAAAAAATTAATTTTTATAATTCTACCTAATAAATTTTTTATTAGTAAAATTATTCTATGATTTAATTCATAAATTGAATAATAAAAACATGTTACAAATAAACAAATTACACCAAATATAAAAATAAATAAATTACATAATAAAATTTAAATCTTTAACACAAACTACTATATCATAAACATAAGTATATAACCAAATAATAAAAATTTCAAGACTTATTTATATCCTTCTCAATCTTCATTCTCAAGTAAAACATTTAAATCTTGTTTAGACAGTAATAATGTCTCAAGGTTTGAATTATTATCAATTTATCATCTAATATTCATTAACATAAAAGAAAAAAGATAATAA